CAGGATGGGTATGGTGGATACAATGCACCTCCTCAATCAGGTTATGGGCAGCCATCATCATATGACCAACAGGGTTATGGCTCTGCACCGAGCTATGGTGCTTCAACGGACCCAAGTCTGGAGGGTCAAACTCCTTCCTATGCCGGTCAAGGGGATTCTGGCCAAGCACCTACTTCTACCCAACCATCTGCAATGGGCCAGCAAGGGTACAATACTAGTCAGATGGCTAGCCCAAATCCTGGCAGTTATCCACCTCAAGGAAGTACTCAAGCTGGTTACGGAATGCCTCCAACTTCACAGGCTGGGTATGGGAGTCAACCACCGGCTCAGTCTGGCTATGGAGGATATGGACCAGCACAAGGGAAGAAACCATTGGTTAATAACCCTGCCTATGGACAGACACAGCAGTCGCCTACCACACCAGGAAGCTACGGCCAGCAAGGATATCATTCGCAGCCACCGTCATCTGGTTATGGTCAACCGGAATCAGGCTCGCAACGGGCTCAATCGTCCACTTATGGTGCTGCATCAGTTCAGCCAGGATATGCTGCACCACCCTATGGAGCGCCTTATAATGCCTCTTATGCTAGTGGTTACTCACAGCCTCCTGCATATCCTGCTGACGGGAATGCAAGTGGGAGCACTCATGGAACTTATGAGGCAGCGCCGGCTTCTCAAACTGGGAAACAAGATGGGGGTGGAAATGCATCGCCCCAATCTTGATTAGTCAAATTTATATTTTAGTACTTAATGCAAATGGTTTTATTGTACAACAGTTAGATGTAGCTATAGTTCTTGCAATGTGTTACTAAGATATGCTAGTGTTTTACTCGGATGTTTCAGATGCTCTGTTTGTCTCGCTCGTTTATGTTTTCGGTATAATTTGACGACTATTATTATTTTATATTTTGATATGATCTAGAAGTGGCTGGTGGACGTTGGTTGTATTGTTACATCAGACAAAATCTGCATTTATGTCCATCTTTGATCACATTTTTCTTTTTCAAATTTAGAACTTCACTAGTTGAAGTTGGTATAACAATTAAAACTTTTAATTGCTACTCTCTGCTCAACAAGTTTGTCTAATATATTCAAATTTAGTTATGTGAAGAATCGATACAAAATGTGATTATCATTATTAATAATAATTAAAATATTATGAGAACAATTTTTAATCAAAATATTCCATTTGAAATGACCCTAAAATGATCTCAAATAATTATAGGAGGTGTGGGGTCGTTATTCTTAGAATTCTCGAGTTCGAAATGTTGTACTAAATGATAATAGAGGGAAAGTCGCTCAATAATTAGCCGGCCAGCTGTGCCCAAAGACCTCGTATAAAACACAACAATACCATTTCTTTAAACCTAGATTATACTAAATGATAATAGAGGGAAAGTCTGATTTCAGATCTAAAGTCATGTTTGTTTTTGAAGGATACCATTTTATTCCATTTGTCCCCCCTTTTTTGGGGTAGTAACGGCATTTCAATTCAAAACCTATTCAAAAACTTACAAGGATTTCTAAATTAGAATCCCATTGAAATATCAATTTATGATTATTTTCATTTCATTGGCTTTAACATTAAAAAGCTTAGCATCAATGCCAGGTTTAAAAATCTATGCTTGATTTCACCTTGTTCTGATGTTTCTTATAACGGAGTAAGTACTTAGTAAAGTGAACCTGTGTCATTCATACACCAGGAATTGGAAATCGGGTTGTAAGCTCTTCGACTCTACTACGGAGATTCGACACCTTGTCCGTCAACGGAAACTCCGGAGCCACCACAAACTTCAAGAATTCTTGAAGCTTTGACGACCGAGAAACCAATCCTTTAGCATCAATAGTAATTTGCACACCCTCGTGGATGAAGTCCGCAATGGCTATAAATTTCTTTTCTTTAAATCCTCGAGTGGTCATAGCAGGTGATCCGATGCGAATGCCACCAGGAACAAGTGCACTCTTATCCCCTGCAAAGCAATATTTTAAGATGTATAAGCACTGGTCAAATATACATAAACGCAAATAAGGCAACATACCAGGTACCGAATTTTTGTTCAAGGTGATAAAGGCCATGTCAAGTATTTTCTCGACCCGAGCACCATCAACCCCTATGAAAAGAGAGATTAATTTAATAAAAAGGAAGAGGCAAAGGAGCTTAGGGTGTCAAGCAAATAATCGGAAAAAAAATGTGAAGAGAGATGGGAACTGACCAATGGCCTTAGATCCACAAGTACAAGATGATTGTCACTGCCACCAGAAACCAATGTATAGCCAAGTTCAACCAATCGATTTGCAAGAGCTCTACAATTCGACACTACCTGCACGATGAAGTACCCATATTAGATTTGACCAACATGAAAGAACTTCAACAATTTTTTTTTTGTCTTTAAAGGAGAGTACCTGATTCTGATAACCCTTGAACTCAGACGACTGTGCATGTTTTAAGCAAACTGCTAGCCCACCAATTGTGTGGTTATGAAGACAACCCTGCATAGACAACCTTATCAGGCGTCTCATGACATAGCTAGTTCAAAACAAAAATCTCAGCTTGTACTTTGAGAGCCAGAAGGAAGTTGGAATAGCGGAATTCATATTGGCAACAGGAGCCAATGAGCCGAGTCAAACTAACCTGTAGTCCTGGAAAAACAGCATTATTGATGGCAGATTCTAGATCAACTCCATGAACATTATCCTTCTTGAAGAAGATCATGCCACCTCTGGGTCCTCTCAAAGACTGGAAATAAGTAAGAAAATTAATTTATTCTATATGGACATTACTGCAAAGGGAGTAAATTGTTTATAATAACTAAATCTTGGCTAGACGAGGGAAAGGATCAAAAGAAATAGGGAAAAAAATAAAGTGAGATTTGTCATGCAAGAAGGGAGTACATATTCTTGAGTACACTAGTTATAAATATTTCAACAAGCAAAATTAGCAGCATGTTAAGTGATTGACATAAATAGACGTCAACACAGCAATTGAATATCCATTCCTCTTACAAAAAATATATATCCATTCCGAACCTTGTGTGTGGTTGTTGTCACAATATCACAATATTCAAAGGGGTCAGCAACTACAGAAGCAGCAACAAGTCCACTTATATGAGCCATATCCATCATGAGAAATGCACCAACAGCATCTGCAATCTTCCAATAGATATCAACTCCATAAGTTACAAGCTAAAAGAAGGATACAAAGCATATATAAAAATGAGTTTTCTTTAAAAGATAGCTAAACAATGATAGGCATAGTATAGCACAACCAGCAAGCATCCTACTTACTTTCCTCATACGTGGATAATCAAAATCACGAGGATGTGCACTGGCACCAGCAATTATGAGTTTTGGTCGAAACAGGGTAGCTGTTTTTTCAAGCATATCGTAATCAACAAGACCTGTTTTAGAATTCAAACAAATTGATATTAACCACCAGGCAAGCATACCAACCAATAAAGCTCAGTAAGTCAAACAATGAGGAATAACCTGTGGATTCATCAAGACGATAAGGCATTGACTCGAAATAGATTGATGTGCCAGATACTCGTCTTTTAGGGGTCATAAATCCATGTGACAAATGTCCCCATGAGGTAAGTCAAGACCATATGCAGGTTTTATCGGGAAACCATTGATTTGAGCACCATCCAACCGCGGGCAACAACAACTAAATTAAAGCAGTTAAACAGGCAGAAGTAGCTTACCATTATTCGATCATGTGGATTTAGAATAGCTGTATAAACCTCAAAATTAGCAGGAGAACCTGACAATGGTTGAACATTGACGCCCCACTTCTTTTCGTCCAAGTGAAATGCTGCCAAAGCCCTCTTCTGGCAAAGTATTACAAGTTCATCAATTTACTCATTACCACCATAGTACCTGCAATTAACAAAAAGATCATTGGTTGCAACCCATTAAATCAAAACCAAATAACGCATTAAATCTCTATGCACCTTGCTCAATTAGATACCTTTTACCAGGCAGTCCTTCAGAATATTTGTTTGTGAGACATGACCCAACTGCCTCCATCACTGCACGGGATGTAAAATTCTCAGAGGCAATAAGCTCAAGGCTTTTGAACTGCCTCTCCTTCTCCTTACTAATAATTGAGCATAACTCAGGATCAGCTTCACTGAGGCCATGGTCCACAAATCTGTTTTCGAGCACCGGGACAGAGGGTGAAGAGCTAGACCTCCCAGTAACTAAGCTGCCTTCGAGTTGAGCTCTACAGGGTTTCACTGAGTTAAGCTTAATCTGGCGCCAGAATCCAGTAATATTAGATACTTTTAAAGGGAATGCTGGTTTATTAACCCTCATGGGCTGTTGCAAATAACCCATCATCGCAGCTCCACCACAAGCCTGCATTCTGCCTTTACGATAGTATTCCTCTCAAATTTCCTACGAATTCACCAGGGAACAACAGAATAGTAAAATGAAAAATTCATCCCAACATCATTTTTTTTCTAGAGAGAAAAATGAACAACCTTTAAGAGTTGATACGATATGAGAAGGGAAAGCGAAATAAAAAAAAATGGAATTTTGCATTGAAAAAGTGAAGTTCTAGCAGGAGACCGACCGACACTCAAAAAAATTCTTAAGTCTACACTGAAACATGTATCGACTAAAAACAAACAGAGAACCTTAAAACACAAACAAAAAATAAAATAACAATCTTTTTTATTCTGTAGAATCGTATAGGTTAGTATAAATAATGAAGCAATAAAATCTAATAATAATACGAATAGCAGGCTAAAGAAAAGACGTGGCAAGAACCAAGAAGTACATACTCGAAAGTAGAATTCAATAACTGGATACGAAAACAACGAATAAAGCGAAATAGAAAATAAAGAGGGCATACTTGCGTGAAGAGTTCTGTTTGTTCTTGGTTTCTCACTGTTAAGCGAGGCAGCAAGTGGCTAAAACTTTAAAACCCTAAAACTTTGTTAGAGCCGTTTGAAAATACTAATACTCGTAAACAAAGAAGCCAAGCGGCTGAACCGGAGATGTTTTGTTATATTACTGGTGACTCGGAAGGGAAAGGGGTTCAAGAATCTATGCCAAGGGAAAATTTGTTAGATGATTATGTCGCTTCGTTTTCTCCACTCTCTCCAAATCCGCCTCTTGGGTGCATTCCTCTCCCTCTTTTTCTTTTCTACCTTTTCCAGATTTGATTATAATCTTGGCCTTAATTGATCTGAAAATTAGTGTTTTTTAATTTGTATTTATATCTTTAATTTTAATTTTCATAGCTTAGAAAAGAGTTCAGCAGTGATGTTGAGTCTACCATTGCTGCGGTTCGAGCTCTCTCGGCTACTACCGTCTCTTCTGGTCAAGCAGATCTCACCAATTTGTTCCGCTTAGCAGCTCATGAAGCCAAGAAATCTCATTCCCAGAACCGCATTTTAAGAGTGGTGAGTACCCATTTGGCCATTTCTTTTCCTTTTTCTCACAATTTCTTATCATTGGTTAAGTTGGGAAAATGATTCAAACTCGATGCCCCTTTTCTCTCGGCCAGTTTAGCAGTGCTGTTACGGTTTAAAATTAGCACTTAGCAGCCAATTTTTTTTATTCCGTTCCGAAAGCACTTTTAGAGTGCTTTGGATGGCAAAAACTTCTTGTTTAGTGTTGCATTTTCTGTTAATAAATACTCAAGGATAGCTACGAAGGAATCCTATACACACCCTAAGTGCAGTTACTGATTAGTTTTTCTTATAAATAGGCTTAGATGATATATATTTTCAATCCATACTTGTCGAATGAATTCTTAGGAATAATGAACTCTCTTCCATTTTTTTTTAAGTAATGAAGCAATGAGCTGTTGTTATATGAATCCTGAAGTAGTTTAGAGACTGGAGATCAATTTGTGATTAACATGTTAATGTGCCTATTATGGCGGTGTTCCTCTAAAATCTGATTACATGGTGTTTATTTTGCTGCTTTTTAGATTCTCATATACTGCAGATCATCGATTCAACCCCATCATCAATTCAACCCCATCATCAATGGCCTGTAAACCAGAAGCTCTTCACTTTGGATGTAATGTACCTCCATGACAAGCCTGGACCGGATAATTGTCCCCAGGCAGTCTATGATGCACTCGTCGATGTGCTTGAACATGTTAGTGAGTACGAAGGATACATCCATGAGAGTGGGCATGGGTTACCACGTACCTTCTTCCGTTTCATGTCTATGTTGTTGTGTAACCCTCAACAACGTTGTCCTCAAGATGACACTGATATTCCCAAACCTCTTATGAAGAAGTCAGCTGAACCTGCAAATGGTGAAGATAAAGTTCATGTATCCGCCAGCCGGTGAGAACATCGATAACCTGATATTCATGTGGCATCCAGCCCTTGGGTAATTTTATCAGTATGATTTCTGCATGTGAGCTGAAATTACAATACATGAACAAGATAACGTATTTAATCTTCTGCCAACTTTCTGTAAATATCTAACCTTTTTCTCCGTGTTTGTCAAACTGTTCCATTCTAGATAAGATGCATTATCTTCTTCATTAACCTTAGCTTTTATGGAGCTTTCTTAACATGTCGAAAGCAACTGCAGAAGCATCACGTTTAGCACTAATTTAATTATGAGTTGTCTTTTATCCTTGGACATACATACCAGAAAAGGCACGCCAAAAGTGTTACCGGATGCAATACAAGCCAACATATCTTTGCAGTCTGCAACAACATTAACCACATTCCACATGTGATTCCATAATTCTATCATACTTTATTTTTGCATTGGTTTTTGATTGTGTGCTGGATTCTAACTTATCCCTAAGGAGGTGTTTGGTTCACGAAAAAGATCATTACCAACGGGTAATGATCTTTTATGTAATCTTATTCCCATGTTTGGTTTGAACCGATTCCCACAAGGATGGAAAAGATTATTACCAACACTTTTTGGACAAAATGGTGGGAATGTAATTCCCTCCATTTCTTTAGGGGTTTGTTTATTCCCACTAAATTGGACAATATTATCACTTAAGTATTGATTTTTTTTATTTGAATCTTTTGTATCATACTTTTAAGTAGATAATTAATTATTTGCAATGTAAATTTATTTAATAATTTTCTTTAAATTAATTTAATATTTAACTGATGTTATATATATTTTTATTAATATTATATTTATGATAGCTATAATATTAATAATTTAAATAATATATTATCTAATGGTTACTCTTGTACTTTTGGGTTGATTGATTCTAGGATGTCTTTTTAGAATTATGTTTGCTCTCAGTGATCCTCTACTCTTTCGATTTGATAGAGACAAGAGATTGAAATATATTCGAATACATAAATTTTGCATGTTTGGCAGAAGAATCTAAACAAAACAAGCTAGCAAGCATTATATTTTTGTACCTACATTTAAGATAATATATATTTGAGAAAATCGCCTCAGTGACCAAAAAAAAGTTATAATATACGATTTTAACCAACTTTTTTTGGATTTGCCAAAATGACCAACAAAATCGCAACGCGAAATAAAAATCGCAACGCGATCCCCAGAATCGCAAATCAGTTTCCAAAATCGCAACGCGATTCTTGAAAATCGCAATGCGATAGTACAAATTCGCATTGCGATTTTCCAAAATCGCAACGCGAATATGAAAATCGCAACGCGAACACATAAATCGCAACGCGTATCCGTAAATCGCAACGTGTATCCGTAAATCGCAACGCGTATGGGTAAATCGCAATGCGTATCCGTATATCGCAACGCGTATCCGTAAATCGCAACGATAATACATAAAATCGCAACGCGTATCCGTAAATCGCAACGCGATATTTAAAGCGCCATTATAATCGCTACGCGTATTTTATTTTCAAATTACAAAAAGAATATTAAGACAAAATCCCGTAATCGCAACTCATAACCTAAAACCTAAAATCACAACTCAGTCCCATCTCCATCTCTCACTCTCTACGGCGAAGAAATCCGTCCCCATCTCCGAAGATTTCCGTCCCCATCTCCGGCGAAATCCCTCACAACCATTCACGGTCAGAAATCCCTCACAATATTCAGAAATGGAAAATCAACCTCCGAGGGTTAGTTTTTTAATTATTTTTATTTTGAAATGTTTGCATTATTGTAGGTTTTTCATATTGAAACTGATGATAAGTTTACTGGTCATTTCAATAATAGATTAACCATTTCACTTAGATTTCATTTCGCGTTACGATTCTGTCGTTGCGATTTTCATTTCGCGTTGCTATTCTCTCGTTCCGATTTTCAAGTTAGTATTTGTCTTTGTCTTTGTTCTGTCTTTTGGTTGAAGTAATGCAATCCATTCAAGTTTCAATTTGCAGAAGAGTCGCAACGAGATAAATGAAAATCGCAACGAGAGAATGACTGTCGCAACGAGAGAAATGAAAAGCGCAACGAGAGAATCGCAACGCGAAATGAAAATCGCAACGAGAGAATCGCAACGCGAAACCAAAATCGCATTGCGATTTTCATTTCGCGTTGCGATTCTCTCGTTGCGATTTTCATTTCGCGTTGCGATTCTCTCGTTGCGATTGTCATCTCGCGTTGCGATTCTCTCGTTGCGATTTTCATTTCAACCAAAAGACAAAACAGTGTTGCAAATTTTAGTTTCAAGAATAAACTACTACTTTTTATGTTTATTGTTTTTGGTATATCTTCACAGTGTAGTTTTTGGTATATCTAACTTGGTATGTTTATTGTTTTTGTAGAAATTTTTTTCGGCTCAATTGACCTTGAGAAATAAAGTCAGCATGGCCACTACAATTGCAAAGAAGCTTTCACCTGCTCAAAGACAATTGTTTGAGGAAACCTGCTTCGGGCCATGGCTGAGAGTACAGCATCCGGGTGGAGATGCTAATTTGACCCATTTGTGGCTTCAGACCATGACATCAAATCTACCCGACAGTATACAACGTGGTGAGGAAGAGATATGGTTTCATTTTCCACCAGCGTATACTTGTTTTGGGCGGAAGGAGTTCTGCTTAATCACTGGTCTACGATTCGGACACGATGATGTAGGCCGGTACACTCGTCATATCGCCCGCCCATCATGGTTATCCCGGGTTTTTCCGGATGAGTCAATGGAGAAGCCGAACCTACATGTCGACGACCTGAAGAAATTGTTTAATAAGAAAGCTGGTTTCACTCGGATGGATGACGTCGATGTTGTCCGAGTATGCCTTCTACTACTTGTGTATGCCGGCTTTTTAGGCAGAGAGGCCAGACAACCTATTCATCGGGAGCTAATAATATTGGTAGAGGACCTGAATGCATGGAATCTGTTTCCGTGGGGTTCGTATATATGGAAAGCTACCTGGACTAAGTTGTCGTCTGCCTTTGATGACCGCAAAAGTTTGCGGGGCGATGGGTCCAAATACACTTTGTCAGGCTTTGTTTGGGCCTTTAAGGTAAGAATTTCTATATAATGTTTCTAAAATTATAATTAATTATTTAACAATTACTAATTTTGTTATTATATTGTTTGTAGATTTGGATATTCGAGGCTTTCCCCAGCATGCGTACATATGCAATAAAAACGTCAAATGATATTCCCAGGGCTATTTCCTGGAAGAGGAAAACTCTGTTGGATTGGGAAGACTTAATACCATATGCCACAATAAATAATGTAAGTTAACACAAATACTTTCATATAATATAAACAAGTTATAATAGTAGACGTTTAACTTTGTTTGAGTTTTATATTTTAGGAGGCTAACATTCCATTACAAAGACTGACACCCACGGAGGAAGAGCTTGCCACTGATTGGTGGCAAGCTAGTCAGAATTTTTTTGATGGCACGGATGATGAGCAACATCCACTTCCTCCAATTCGAGAGCCATCACCTCACCTAGAGCCATCACCCGATCGACCCGACTATACACCTCTAGAACGAGAGCCATCACCTATCCCGTCACATCATCGAGCCTCTTCTCCACCATCACCTCATGATAGGCGACCGGCAAAGATGCCACGACTCCTATCTCCCTGTTCTCCACCTCCACCTCAACGGGATGAGTCAAGGGAGTTACGTGATGAGGTCAATGCCTTGCGTGAGGAGATCGGTACTCTACGCGATAACGATGGTGCATGGCGTGTGGAGGTGTCAACTTTACGTGGTGAGGTTGCCGCTCTACGTGAGATGATATCGTTGCAGAATGAGGTTCATACTCTACGCAACGAGGTAAGTTTAAGATTTTCCATATTTAACTTAATGATAAATTTACTCGTAATTTCACTTAGATTAGCCATTTCACTTAGATTGCTTAGTAAATTTATTCGGTTGCTGCCAATTCTGCTAAACTGTGTATTCTTTAACACTGTGAAATAGTATTTGTCTTTGTTTTGTCTTTTGGTTGAAAGTAAATTTGTTCGGTTGCTGCCAATTCTGCTAAACTGTGTATTCTTTAACACTGTGAAATAGTATTTGTCTTTGTTTTGTCTTTTGGTTGAAAGTAAATTTGTTCGGTTGCTGCCAATTCTGCTAAACTGTGTATTCTTTAACACTGTGAAATAGTATTTGTCTTTGTTTTGTCTTTTGGTTGAAAGTAAATTTGTTCGGTTGCTGCCAATTCTGCTAAACTGTGTATTCTATAACACTGTGAAATAGTATTTGTCTTTGTTTTGTCTTTTGGTTGAAAGTAAATTTGTTCGGTTGCTGCCAATTCTGCTAAACTGTGTATTCTTTAACACTGTGAAATAGTATTTGTCTTTGTTTTGTCTTTTGGTTGAAAGTAAATTTATCCATTCAAGTTTCAATTTGCAGAAGAAGAAATAGTTTACTTTCGCAACACGAAACTTAAAATCGCAACGCGAAACCAAAATCGCAACGCGAAATGAAAATCGCAACGACAGAATCGCAACGCGAAACCAAAATCGCAACGACAAGATCGCAACGCGAAACCAAAATCGCATTGCGATTTTCATTTCGCGTTGCGATTCTTTCGTTGCGATTTTCATTTCGCGTTGCGATTCTTTCGTTGCGATTTTCATTTCGCGTTGCGATTTTGGTTTCGCGTTGCGATTTTAAGTTTCGTGTTGCGAAAGTAAACTATTTCTTCTTCTGCAAATTGAAACTTGAATGGATAAATTTACTTTCAACCAAAAGACAAAACAAAGACAAATACTAACTTCAGGGTATTAGTTTGAAACATATTTTTCTTTGTTATCTGATGCATTTTGTGAACTATGATAGAATAATGACTTGGGTGAATACAATGCAAGTTTGAAACATATTTGTCTTTGTTTTCACTGTTTAAATATCATGTCTGTTTATTTACTGATTTTTGTATTTAATTATTTAGCGGCCCGATAGAGTGGATGCTTTACGTCGGGTTATGCTTGCACGACGGAGTTCATGCATCAGACAGCGTGCACGTGCTATTAAGTCTCCGTACACCCCAATAGTGCGAAGACACCGCAAGAAGAAGCCCGACTCGCCTGTCATCCCTCAAGAGTCCACTCCTATCGTTGAAGAGGCCCCCCCTATCATTCCTCGAGAGTCCCCTCCCACCGTTCAAGAGG